GAAAGTCTACTAAATTAGCTACTCATGGAAGTAATCAAAAACATGATCAAACCGAATGAATTGATGATGTTTTCTTCTGGATCTCTTAAACTCTTGAGCTCCAATCGTTTCCTCTTCTAAGGGTTTTCCAGAGGGTTTTTGTCGTAATACTTCTCCAGAAAGTCACCTCCAAGTCCCTCGATTCGTCCTAATGTTCAGATATATATACTTGCCTAAAATCTAGCTACCACGTTGTGGTCCTCATGTTTACCCCGTACTTTCCAAGTCAGCATCAAGAATCGTGAAGAATCCATTCACCACGTCGTGGGGAGAAGAATCAACATTTTCTCAAAACATGAACGTTGTCCGAAATTGTGTCTAGTATTCAGATCATTTTGAATTATATCAATCAGAGTTACGAGTCATGAGATATGGTCAAAATACTGACAAGGGGTCAAACTGTCCAACAACATCCTTCTTGTGTCTTATTCTTGTCTAAGCTCGCATTTTCCTGCTTCCAGCTTCCATATTTCTTCCGAGCATGTCTTTTATGCTACATAACAAATATTAAACATAATAAGTACCTTTTGTTCTATAATAAGAATAAATGTGGCATAAAATATTTAGATATGATGTAAAATATATATGTAGATATGCACATATCAAGACTTCACGGTGCTCCCTTAACGATCGTATCGGATCGCGACAGTCGTTTTCCTTTGAGATTTTGGAAGAGATTACCAGAAGATATGGGTACAAAGTTGTATTTGGTTACATCCTACCATCCACAGACTGATGGTCAGAGTGAAAGGACAATTCAAACCTTGGAAGATATGTTGAGAGCATGTAACCTATAATTTCAAGGTAACTGGTATGAGCATTTACCCCTAGTTGTGTTTTCCTACAACAATAGTTACCATTCGAGCATTAAGATTGCACCTTATAAAGCCTTATACGAACAGAAGTGTCGTATGCCATCTTGTTGGCTTGAAGCTAGAAAAAAACAGTTTATGGGTCCTAAGATTGTCCATCAGACTGTTGAAAAGTTGAAAGTGATTAGAGAAAGGATGCTAGCAGCTCAAAATTGTCAGAAGAGCTACACTGACAAGAAGCGAAAACAAATTAATTTCAAAGTTGGAGATTTGGTGTTGCTCAAAGTCTCTCCATGGAAGGGACTTATTAGATTTGGAAAGAGAGGGAAGTTGAGTCCAAGATTTATTGGACCATTCAAGCTTCTTCAGAGAGTTTGGAACCAAGCTTACAAGCTGGAATTGCCAAAAGAACTGGATGGTATTCATAACACTTTTCATGTGTGTTATTTTAGGAATTTCTTGGGAGAAGTTCCCGATATAATTCCACTTACGGAGTTAAGGATCATTGAGAATAAGAGGTTGACTGAAGATCCCGAAGAGATTAACGACCGTAAGATGAATAAGTTACGACATAAGATGGTCAAACTAGTGTTACTACGATGGAAACACAAGGCTGGGCCAAACCTCACGTGGGAGACAGAGGGCGACATGATGAGTTGCTATCCACATCTGTTTGCTGATACATGATTCCGATGACGGAATCATCTTAAGGGGAGAGAATTGTAACGCTCGTGTTTCTCACTAGGCATTAATAAAAGATGATGTAATAGTTATGGTCAACAATTGTAACCTTTAGATGGAATAAATATGTAACATCCATAAAATTTAGGTAAAATTTAAACTTTTCAAACATTTCAAAACCATCCATTGTTTACAAATTGTTTTTAAAGTTTAAATTTTACCTAAATTTTATGGATGTTACAAGCTGGTATCAAAACCTTGGTTTGAGTGAATTGGAGGAACATTCGTGTGAATCCAGTCTCAAACTAAGGAAAAGATTTTCAAAATAATTTTCAAATGGTTTTCAAAGTACTAAAGGGGGATGCGGGGTGTGCGATCAGCCGGAGCCAGTAAGTAGACCCCAAAATACCATACTGTTATTTGATATTGTGATATGTTAGAACAACATGCTAGTGATAGGCTAGGGATCTTCGGGAATTGCATGATAGAATTGTCGGATTATATGATGCATGTTAGCCTAGGGTTTCCTTATATGAAATTGACATCATTACTGTAGTTGCTTAGTGTATGAATCACGGTTGTATATAACTAAGATCATATAGCCTGAGAATGTTTGGTTTAGCCTTATTTCCTATTCTTGTTTGATGAAGGGATTAGGGTAGGATCGGATATTCGAATGTCTATAGGGTCCAGTGTTATGTATGGCTAACATACACGAGTGCTACAGGGTTGGTGGAAGTTTCATGGATGAGTTATGCAGGGTCAGTCGGCCAGTCGTGGGATGTTTAGCCTTCCTCTAGGAGTGAGGATGGAGCGCTCGCCTATGCTTATGTATATTGTTAGGGTGCTGTGATGATCCTTGAGACAAATATGGGTAGGTGCGGAAGGTAGTATGGGCCCGTACTACTGAAAGCACAGGACCCATACGCGTAGCAAGGAAGTCACAACCCCTAGGGTTTAGTTGGGAGTTGTTTCCCTGTTATTATATGGAATGGCTGATATCTTTTTGGTGTATTTTCAGTATGGTGGTTACGAGACGATTTGTGACTGGATCCGGGTCAGGATCAGGAGCTGGCAGTCAGGAGGGGCCAACATCGTCAGACACCATTGGTCAGATGAGACCAGATGAGTTGGATGACAGGATTCGGGAGATCCTGCACTTTTCCGGGCTGAGTTGCCCGAGATGTTTGGGTCTATTAATACCGCTCTGGTGGAGTATTTTGATGAGCGCTATGCAGCCATTGTTGAGACGGATGCTGCTGCAGCCTCCGCAGCCGTGGCGGCTGTAGGTATGGGGACAGGTCGGACTTTTCAGTACCGGGACTTCGATAATACGAAGCCCCCGGCCTATGATGGAGTCCAGAACCCGATCATAGCCATGAGGTGGCTATCTAATGTGGAGGGATGCTTATTCACGTGTTCATGCCCTGCTGACCAAAAGGTCAGATACGCTCTGAACCTCTTGAGGTCTGGAGCGAAGGACTGGTGGAGACTTGTTACAGGATCATACTCCGATGAGCAGAGGGCTGCAGTATCTTGGGATCAGTTTAGAGATATGTTCTGCGCCCGCTACATTCCTCGGGTCGAGCGGGAGAGGTTGGCTCAGGAGTTTCTGGATTTGAGACAGGGAACGGCGACGGTGACGGAGATCACCCGGATGTTTACCGAGAAGACGATGTTTTTCCTGGAGTTTGCTTCTGAGTGGGCTCAGATGATTCGTTATCTGAGCATGCTCAAGACTGACATCACACAGTTTGTTGCTACCCAGCGTTGTGATACTTTACTGGAGTTATAGGAGGCCGCTAGGCGGCGTGATCTTGAGATTGAGTTGCAGTTGAGAGAGCAGAGACAGGCCCCGACGTAGTTGCAGTCGGTGTCGAAGCGGTTCAAGACCGCCGATTCCAAGTCTAGAGGTCAGCACGGCCGCACTTGTGGGAAGTGCGGAAAGGCTCATTCTGGAGCATGTCGATCTGGTAGCAGGTGCCACAAATGTGGCAATGAGGGACATTATGCGAGGGATTGTCGTCAGTCTTCCCCGGTTCCGAGTATGAGGATCTGTTACCACTGTGATCAGGTTGGCTACATGAAGGTCAACTGTCTATTGCTGGCCGCCAAGCCGGCGCAGGCTCCCGCGCCAGCTACCTTGAGGATTACTGACGGGAGTCAGGGTAGAGCAGAGTCCCCGTGGGCTCGAGGACGCACTTTCAAACTCACGGCCGAGGAGGCCAGGACAGCGCAAGATATGGTGGCTGGTATGTTTCTATTCCTTATCTCATTGATTATATTCATTTTATGCTCATATGTTTGTACTTATGTTAGGTACGTTTTTAGTGAACTCCTTGCCTGATCTTGTATTGTTTGACTCGGGGGCGAGTCGGTCATTTGTCTCTCGATCGTTTAGTAGGGAGTTCGGTTTGCCTTTAGGAGAGCTAGAGTGTCCGTTGCGAGTCTCCATCGCCAACGAACACGGGATTTCTGCTTCTTCAGTCTATCGAGGTTGCGTTCTAAAGATCTTTGGGGTATCATTCCCGATTGACTTGATCCCAATTCCCATGGGGGTGTTTGCGTTATTGTGGGTATGGACTGGCTAAGTCGTTTCGGTGCCATGATCGACTGCTAGGGTCAGCGTGTAGTAGTTCGAACCCCAAGTGGAGGAGAGCTGGTTATCTATGGTGAGGGCACCAGGTTGGGTTCGGGGTTCTGCTCAACCGCCAGGGATCGACAATATATTCAGCATAGGTGTGCGGGTTATTTGGCGTATGTGGTGGATACGCGGGTCAGGGATCAGGTCTAGGTTTCAGAGGTTCCAGTCGTCAGAGAGTTCGTTGATGTGTTCCCGGAGGAATTACCCGGAGTGCCTCCTGAGAGGCAGGTCGAGTTCAGGATCGACCTTGTGCCAGGTGCGGCCCCAATTGCCAAGGCGTCGTATCGATTGGCACCACCTGAGATGCAGGAGTTGTCATCTTAGTTACAGGAGCTGCTAGGTAAGGAGTTCATCCGTCCGAGCAGTTCTCCATGGGGAGCACCGATTCTCTTCATCAAGAAGAAGGATGTATCACACTGGATGTGCATTGGTTACCGGGAGTTGAACAAGTTGATGGTGAAGAACCGTTATCCACTTCCGCGGATAGATGATCTTTTCGATCAGTTGCAGGGAACATCTTGGTTTTCCAAGATAGATATGAGGTCCGGGCATGAAGGTTTTTTACTAATGAATCGATAGTCAAACTCATTCCATACAGTATCTTTTACTCGATCAAAGCGGCGGATTTCTAAATTTTCATAGGGCCCTCTCGGAATTCCTTCTAGGGCCTGTTGAATATTTTTTATGGATTCTGTCATTTCACTGATTCGTACTAAATAACGAGCTAATGAATCCCCTTCTTTTTGCCATTGGACTTCCCAATCAAATTCGTCGTAACACTCATAATGATCAACTTTACGAAGATCCCATTGTATTCTGGAAGCTCATAGCGTGGGTCCCGACAAACCCCAATTTATTGCTTCCTCTCCACCAATAATGCCTACTCCTTCAACTCGTTCTAAAAACATGGGATTCCGTGTAATAAGCTTCTGATATTCAACAATTCCTGTTAAAAAATAATCGCAAAAATCCAAACATTTATCTATCCACCAATACGAAAAAAATTGTGCATCATTCGCATACCGGTGGCAGCTTCGAATAGGTCATATATCAATTCTCTTTCTCGAAAAATATAGAAGAAAGGAGTCTGCGCCCCAATATCTGCCATAAAAGGGCCAAGCTATAAGAAATGTGAAGCTATACGACTTAACTCCAACATAATGATTCTGATATAACTGGCCCTTTTAGGGACTTGAATATTTCCTAATTGCTCTGGTGCATTTACAGTTATTGCTTCTGTGAACATAGTAGCTAAATAATCCCAACATGTTACATAAGGCAAATATTGTATAATTGTTCGATTTTCTGCAATTTTTTCCTTACCTCTGTGTAAATAACCCAATATTGGTTCATAGTCAATAACATCTTCACCATCTAGAGTAACAATGAGTCGAAGAACACCGTGCATTGATGGGTGGTGAGGTCCCATATTGACTATCATGAGGTCTTTTCTTGTAGCTGGTCCGGTCATAGGTTTTTCCTGATTCATTCTTCCATGAATTGCTGAAAGCGAAAAGAAGTTCATCAAACTTTAAGCGATAATTCAAACTAAGTCTTCAAATTAACGAGTTTTTCTCTCTCGAATATTCAACTGACCTATTAACTCTTTATAACGTGCTCTATTTTTTTTGACAAATAAGCCAGCAACCGTTGACGTTTTCCCAGAATTTTCCGCAGACCTCTCTGAGATAAATAGTCTTTTTTGTGCAATTCCAAAAATGTGAAGTAAGTTTACATATCTTATTGGTGAAACTTACTACTTGAAATTCAACAGATCCTCTGTTTTCTTTGTTTTCTTCTTGTTCTTGAAAAATAATTGAAATAAATGAATTTTTTACCATAAAATAATTTCACACTCCCCTTTTTACAGATATTGATTTTATTAAGCAGTAACAATAATGTCAGAAATTTTAATGTAGTATACACAATATTCACAATTTTTTTATAGACTCCTGATTTTATCAATTAATAAATCCTATTTTGGAATTCATTTGTATAGTAAAAAGACGATACCAAATAGTTTAGTACGAAAATTCTGTTGATTAATTTCTAGCTTTAATTGATACGACATTTTTCCTATGTCATTTCCTTATTATTGCACTATCCTAGACTGGAATGTAAGACAGTGCATATGTTCATTTGGTTGCTTGCATATAACATGGATATATTTACATCACGGACAGAACTGATTGATAGAACAACAGAATATCTAGGAAACTCAAAATTGTTAATCATGGATACATAGATATCCTTAACATACTCAAGCGGCTCCCATTATTGGTATCAAACCAATACCGATTCATACAAGCTAAATCTTCTAATCAATAATTAGGCCAAAAAAGAACTTGAATTTAATTAATTCATTTTTTTATGTCAAAATCTTGATTTTCATCCAAAAATTGACTCCATTTTTTATCTTGTTCTCGTTGTAAACTAATGTGTTTCTATCCACACCAGTGTTATTCTTTAAATTCAAATTAAAAGAAATGAGAATTCTTAATTCTCTACGGCGTCTAGACGATAAAATTTTTTCAGGAACAAGCAAATCAGAATTCTTTTTGTCTATATTTTTAGCAACATTTTCTTGTTTTTGGTATCTTTGATTACTTTGGTACTTACTTTTATGAACCAATGAAATACCTATGATTTGATACATAAAAATTTGTCCGTCATTTTTTAGAGATAGGCGGGCAGGTTCCAGAATTAATATTCCTGTTTTCATTAATTGTGTAAGATTTAAATTCCTACTCATTATACCCAGATCCATTTCTTTCCTTTAAATATAGGATATAGTAATTTTCTGACATTTATGAGGCTAAGTAGTAGACCATATATCTGGATATTATTCATTATTTTTTGATTCAATTGATTGACACGTCCAGCCCATCTTAATTGCAAAGGAAAATCCCCTTTAAGGAATATTTTTAGTTTTTCGGTGGATTCTAAAAAGTATTCTTCAATATTGTTTTGATTATTTAATTCAAAATATTGTTTTGAATTTGATGGACTAAATTTGAAAAAAAATCCTCTTCTTGCTTTCCGTTGATATTTTGATTTTTCACTAAAATTGGAATTGATATTCAAATTAAAAAGAAGTAATTTGCTTGGAATAAACCAAGGTTTCTCTTTATATTTATGATAAAGTCTCACAAACTTTGGAAAGAAAAAAACTTTCGGATTGGATATGAGGCAATTTAAGATTAAGATTTTTTTCATTCATTCCCATCCAATCAAAAAATACATTTTTGTAATTTATTTCCAAATTTGAATCAATCGGAATATAAAAAAGACCATTATTATGAACTTTGTCCTTTATTTGGTCCTTATTTTTATCCTTTATTTGGTCCTTATTAGGTTCAACCTTAATATTTTTATTAATTTTATACAAAAATTTTCTATCTTTATTTATTTCCATATATATAATATCGCTTTTTCCTAAATAATTCTTGCTAGGAATATTCTTGAGCATCCTAAAAAAAATTTCTTTATTTCTGGTGGAATTTTCTTGGTTATTATTTGTTTCTAATGATGATCTATAAATATAGTAGTTATTTTTAGTTTCAGAATGAATATATTTATATGATAAAAGATCATATCTATAGTTTTTTTAAAATTATCCTATTTATTTGCTAATAAATAGACTTTCGAATTTTGTTTTTTTTTAATCAAGTAATTGGTCTTTTTCAGAGGAATACCATTTGTTTAAATCTTTATTTTGAGACGTCTGGCATTGGTTGATTCTATTTCGCCATTTTTGGGGGATTAATCTAGACGATGTAATCTGAGATAAATCGTATTGATAATGACCTCTTAACCAGTTTTTCCATGGATTCATTCTTATTATGTCTTAATTCGGAATGAAATATGTCTTGTCTTCCAAAAAAATCCTTTATTTCAGTCTTAAGAAAAAAAGACGGTTCATTTTATTGAAAAATAGATCTTAACTTATAGAAGTTAATAATCTGCGTTTGTGATAATTTGAAAAATACATATTTTTGTGACAAGTAAGATAAATCAAAAAAAATATCTGACTTCCGCTTACTATTTCTAAGATTATCAAAAGCCCTTTTTATAGTCATAGACAAAATAAAGTCAATTTTATTTTGTTTTGTTTTATTAATCCTTTCTTGATTTGTTTCATTATTGTTAATGTATTTATCATTATCAATAATTTTTTTGTTGATTGGATAAAAAGTTGTAGAGGGATTCTGCGCATATTAATGATACATAGAAAGATCTCTATGTATATTTTTTCAATGAAAAATTTAACTAATAATTCAATATTTTCAAAATTTTTTGGGATGATTCTGCATTATTAATTTTATTTTTTTTCATTATTTCTATTTCATTTCTGATTGTCTTTCTTCTATCAATCCTATGTTTCATTTCTTCTTCTGCCTGTGAATAATTTGTCCAACCTGTAGATCGAATTTGACTAAGTGATTCATGAATTATCTCATTGCTGATTATGGAATCCTTTTCTGTTTGAGTTTCACTTGATTCATATATTTTTCTAGATAGAAATAATGGAATTTTATTTCCTTTTAAAAGTTCTTTTATTTTTTGTTTTATAAAGAAAAATGCTTTTGCTTCTTTCTTTTTTATTTTTTTAAAAAATCTTCGAACTCTAAAATTTAATTTTCTGATTTCGACTTTATAGTCTATATCTTTAAAAATGGGTTCAAGAAAGGAAGGTGTTTTTCGAGGAGGACCAAAAGGATATTCCGTTTCCATTCCCAAAATTGTTAAAAAACAAGAATTAAAATCCTCTTGTTGCTTTAGATCTCTATCAGAATCATAGAGTCTTAGCTTAGATCTGTGCCAAGGTTTCAAATGAAAAGGATATAGGATTTTTATCTGAAAACCTCCGCTTAACCAATTTTTAGGAAATTTTGTTTTGGAGAATTGAAGACCATTAGAGCTGCATCTAGCACAAGAAAGTCGAAGTATATACTTTACTCGATACAAACTCTTTTTTTTTTGAAGATCCACTATGATAATGAGAAAGATTTCTGTATATACGCCCAAAGCGGTCAATAATATCAGAATATGAGAAATCGGCCCAAATCGCCTTACCAATAGAATGCCCCAATGCATTACAAAATTTAGATTTAGCTAATGATCCAATCAAAGGCATAATTGGAACAATAGTCTCAAACTTCTTAATAGCATTTTCAATTATAAATGCATTTTCTAGCATTTGACTGCGTACCATTGAAGGCTTTAGCCGCACACTTGAACGATAACCCAGAAAGTCAGGGAATGATTGGATAATTGGTTTATATAAATCCTTCCTGGTTGAGACCACAGGTAAAAAGAAGATTTCGCGAAATTGACAAAGTAATAGTTCCATTTATTCATCAAAAGAAACGTCCCTTTTGAACCAAGAATGGATTTTCCTTGATACATAACATAATGCATGAAAGGATCTTTGAACAACCATAAATTCGCTTGAAAAGCCCTGGCAAAGACTTCCATACAGAGTGAGGGAGGAGGACATGACGTGGAGAAGACCGTGTTTCGGAGTCGTTATGGACATTACGAGTTTGTGGTGATGTCGTTTGGGCTCACCAACGCACCAGTAGTATTCATGGACCTGATGAATCGGGTATGCAGACTGATGCTCGATCGCTCGGTTATCGTGTTCATAGATGGCATCTTGGTGTATTCTAAGACCAAAGAGCAGCATGAGGAGCACCTCCGCGAGCTACTGAGAGTTTTGAGGCGAGAACGGATTTATTCCAAGTTCTCGAAATGCGAGTTTTGGTTGCGAGAGGTTCATTTCCTTGGAAATCTCGTTAACCAGGAGGGGATTTTGGTCGATCTGGACAAGATCGAGGCGGTGATGCAGTGGGAGGTTCTGAAATCTCCCTCGGATATCAGGAGTTTTCTGGGATTGGCAGGGTACTACCAATGATTTATACAAGATTTCTCCAAAATTACAGTACCCCTCACTCGTCTGACGAGGAAGGGGGTGAATTTTTGGTGGGGCCCTGAGCAACAAACAACATTTGAGACCCTCCGACAAAAACTTTGTGAGGCTCCATTTTTGACACTCCCTGAAGGAGTTGAGGATTTTGTGGTTTTCTATGATGCATCCATCACCGGATTGGGAGCGGTCCTCATGCAGAGACGACGAGTGATAGCCTATGCCTCGCGAAAGTTGAATTCGCATGAGACGAAATATCCCACACATGATCTTGAGTTGGGAGCGGTAGTTTTCGCCCTCAAGATCTGGAGACATTACCTCTACGGGATCTGATGTACCATATACACTGACCACAGGAGCTTGAGACACATCATGGATCAGCCGAACCTGAACATGAGGCAGCGCAGGTGGCTGGACGTAGTCAAGGATTATGAATGCGAGATTCTTTACCATCCTGGTAAAGCGAACGTTGTGGCGGACGCCCTGAGCCGCAAGTCGGCAGGATCTTCGGTTCCGGCGTAGTGTATGAGGATATCTGTGGA